GGAGACGGGAGGGATGGGTGCGCGCGATGGCGACGTGATGTCGATCGCGTGGGAATTACATCGTGGGTTCGACGCGCGAGATGGGACGGCGGCGAGGTGGGGACGTCGGGCGAATGGATATCGCGCGGCGAACGACGGACGTCGCGCGGATGGTTGCGCCGCGAGAGGACGTCGTCGTCGGATGAGGTTCGGTCGACGCACGCGCTCACGGCGGTACCGGGACGCCGTCGAGCTTGGCCTGTAATATTTTATCCACCAGGGTTGGATTCGCGCGGCCACCGCTCGCCTTGAGACAGGCACCGACGAAGAAACCTTTGAGTTTGGTCTTTCCGGATCGATACTGCTCGAGCTGCGAGCCGTTGGCTTCGAGGACCCCGTCGATCAAGGCCTCGATCTCGGCAGGGTCGGAGATTTGAGACAGACCTCGTTCTTTCACCAATGCTTTGGCGCTACCGCCCGTCTCTAAGAGCTCCGGGAGGATGTCCTTGCCGATTTTCCCACTGATTTCGCCCGAGTCGATGAGTCCGCAAAATTCACCGAGCGCCTCGGGGCCCAGCGGGAGCGATTTGATGTCCAACTTGGCGTTCTTCATGTGCGCCATGATATCACCCGTAAGCCAGTTGGCGATTTGCTTCGCCGACGGCTTCGATGGCGAGTTCATCGCCGCGTCGAAGTAGGCGACGAGCTCCTTGTCCTCCACGAGAACCTGCACATCCGCCTGGGGGAGCCCGAGATCGGAGTACCGAGCACGCACCGCGGCCGGAAGCTCAGGCATGGTGGACACCACATCTTGAATGAATTTCTCCGAGAGCGTCAATCGAGGGAGATCGGGTTCGGGAAAGTACCTATAGTCCGCCAAGCCCTCCTTCTTACGCATCGCAACCGTCTTCTGCGCCGCCTCATCCCACGTGCGCGTCTCTTGAACGATCTCGTCAGCCTTCCCGGCACGAATGAGCGCCTCCTGGCGTTCGATTTCATAATCAATCGCGCGCGCCATGGCGTTGAACGAGTTCATGTTCTTCACCTCCACCTTGGTCCCGAACATCTTGCGTCCGACGGGCCGTATGCTCACGTTGACGTCGTTTCTCATCGAACCCCGAGACATGTCACCGTCGCACGCGTCCAAAAATCGCACGATGCGCCTCAGTTCGGCCCCGTACGCCGCGACCTCGCGCCCCGTGCGCAGATCCGGCTCTGTGACGATCTCTAATAGCGCCACGCCCGCGCGGTTATAATCCGCGTACGAGTACCTCTTCCCATCCTCCCCTTTCGCGTGCGTGAGCTTCCCAGCGTCCTCCTCGAGATGGGCCCGCGTGATCCCGACCCGTCTCGTCCCCCCACCGTCCTCCACCGGCAAAACCACCTCGATCGACCCATCGTAACACAGCGGCTCGTCGAACTGCGATATCTGATACCCCTTTGGCAGATCCGGGTAAAAGTACTGTTTACGATCAAACTTACTCGACCGCCGTATCTTCGCGTTCAGCGCCGTCCCGATCGCGATCCCCTTCTGCACGACCACTTTATTCAGCACCGGCAACGTCCCAGGATGTCCCATGCACGTCGGACACACGCGCGTGTTCGGCTCGGCGCCGTACGCGTACGCGCATCGACAAAACGCCTTCGTCCTCGAGTTCAACTGCACGTGGGTCTCGATCCCGATCACCGCCTCGAACGTCGTCTCCGCGCCCACCTCGATCGCGTCGCCGTCGTCGCCCGGGATCGTCACCGCGCGCGCGCGCGTCGTCATCCATCCGCTCGAGCGCCGCCCTCGACGATGTCCATCGCGTGCGCGCGCACGGACGACCCCGCGCGCGTCCCCGGACGCCGCGCGCGACGACGGGACGCGCGACATCGCCGTTCGCCCGCGCGCGCGGTGTCGCGTCGTCGCGCGCCGCGGTCGGGGGCGTCGATGTCGCGCGATGGGTGATAAACCCCACACGCCGATCGGTGACGGGCTCGACGGACGCGCAGTATGACACACGCGAACCCTAGCGACGACGACGAACGGCGGCGGACGATCGACGCCGCACTCGCGGGCGCGGCGTCGACGACGAGCGATCGCGCGCGCGCGATGTCGTCCCACGCCCTGGCGCTCGGCTCGGCGCGCGTCGGCGTCGGGATGCGCGCGCGTGGGCGTCGACCGGGACGCGATGGTGGGGAAACCCCCACCCGGCGTGGGCCGTGGCGTTTAAACGCGCACGCGAAGGATTCGAAATCGCGCCCGTCGAGCACGAGCGGGGTGTTCAAGGACATGGCGAACTCGCGATTCGCCGCCGTGGATGACATGGACGCGCACGCGCACGAGAGCGAGACGGCGGAACCGGTGATGCGACGACGGTTGAAGGTGTTTTCGGGCACGGCGCACGCGACGCTGAGCGAGGAAGTGGCGAATTATTTAGGCATAGAGCTGGGGAAGTCCACGATCAAGCGGTTCGCCGATGGAGAGATTTACGTGCAGATTAAGGAATCGATCCGAGGGAGCGATGTGTTCATCGTGCAACCGACGTGCCCGCCGACGAACGATAGCTTGATGGAGCTGCTGGTGATGATCGACGCGTGCCGAAGGGCGTCGTGTCGGTCCATCACGACGGTGATTCCGTATTTTGGATACGCTCGAGCCGATCGTCGGACGCAAGGGCGAGAGTCGATCGCGGCCAAGCTCGTGGCGAACTTGCTCACCGAGGCTGGGGCGACTCGGGTGGTGTTGATGGACATTCACTCGCTTCAAACCATTGGCTATTACGACATTCCCGTCGATCACATTCAGGGCGAGGCTGTGCTCTTGGATTACCTCACGTCCAAGAGTTTCAACCCGGATGAAATCGTGATCGTTTCTCCCGACGTCGGCGGTGTTCCCCGAGCGCGTGCCTTCGCGAAGAAGCTCAACGATTCGCCTCTGGCCATCATCGACAAGCGCCGCACGGGACACAACAAGGCGCAGGTGATGAACCTCATCGGTGACGTCGACGGCAAGGTCGCCATTCTTGTCGACGACATGATCGACACGGGCGGTACTCTGCTCGCCGGCGCGCAGCTCTTGCGCGAACGAGGGGCGACGGAGGTGTACGCGTGCGCCACCCACGCCGTCTTCTCCCCGCCGGCTGTCGAGCGTCTGTCCAACGCCGCTTTCACCGAGGTCATCGTCACTAACTCCATTCCGCACACCCCCGAGCGCGATTTCCCGCAGCTCACGGTGCTGAGCGTCGGCAACTTGTTGGGAGAGACCATTTGGAGAGTGCACAACGACTACGGTTTGCCCAGCGCGGCTACTTCGGTTAGCGGTAAGTAATCGCTAACGAGTCGAACCAACACGGACAAAACATGTACCACAAATTCTATCACCTAGGATTGCAATCTACCACTGCTATTCTTAAAACGTAAACGTAAACGAAACAGGTTGGTCTCACGCGCCGTTCGTCACGCGCCTTTCGTCACACCGCGCAGCGCTCATGGCGGCTGGCGATGTCATCACCGACGCCGTCTCCTACGCCGGTCGCCACGCCTCCACGTGTGGATACTGCGCGTCTACAACTAACACCTCCGTGGCCGACGGCGCGATCGCGCATCGCTTGACGACAGCGGTGTACAACGACTTGATTGAAGACGGTTGGAGACGCAGCGGGCGGTACGTGTACAAACCCGTCATAGGAACCACGTGCTGCGCCACGCACGTCATACGATTGCGTTGCGTAGAATTTACTTTGAGTAAATCGCAGAGGAAGGTGATGCGGCGAATAGCGCGGACAACGGCGAGGACGAGCGAGGACGAAGACGACGGCTCCGGGACGGCGGCGGCGAACGAGCGACTGGAGATCACGACGGCGCGGTCGAGCTTCGTGCGGGAGGAGTACGAGCTGTACGAGAGGTACCAGACATCGGTGCACGGTGACGCGCCGGAGGACGTGAGCGTGGCGTCCTATAGACGTTTTTTGGTGGACTCGCCGTTCGACGACGAGCCGCCGGGGCCCGGGACGCCGAGCACGGGATTTGGAGCGTTTCATCAGCAGTACAGGATCGGCGGAAAGCTCGTCGCCGTCGGTGTCGTGGACATACTTCCTAAGGGTTTGAGTTCGAAGTATTTCTTCTGGGATCCCGACTACGCTCGACTGAGTCTGGGCAAGGTGAGCGCGCTCAAGGAGATTGCTTTCGTGCTTGAGGAACAGAGACGAGGAGCGAGAGGTTTCGACTTCTATTACATGGGTTACTACATTCACGATTGTCCAAAGATGCGGTACAAGGCTGAGTACGCGCCAAGTGAGATCAGGTGCTCGACCACCCGTCGATGGGTGCACGTGGACGACGAAGACGTGAGAAGGCGACTCGATGTGGGCGAGCACCGTCTCCTGAGCGACGAGCCCGCGCTTGAGCGCGCGATGTGTCCTGTGGAGGATTCTTTGGTCGGGGTATCGATGCGTGGTCATCTCATAGGTGTATGTGCGCTACGTGAGTTTCCCTCGCTGGCGAAATCGCTCGTGCTATTCGGGAACTTGAATTACCGAGACGTCGTGAATTATGTCACAGAGGAACAAACTGAGTGGTGCAATAGCGCGGGTACTTCGGCGTTGAGAATCGTAAATGTGATTGCAGTCGAGCGAGCGTCGCGGGGCGAGTTAGAGGATGATGATACGGAAAATGAAGGCAGTGAGGACGACGAGATGTATTAGCATTTAGATGATAAATTCGGCAGCAGCTCTTCCATGTGGTTGTTACAATATCTGTACAAAAGTCTGCAAACTTTAGGACTTTGTGGCACACGCACCTCGAGTTGCCTCGCGACAGCTGGACGTGTTCAGTGCCGATGCGACGTCACTTTAGGTGGTGGAAGCGCGAACGGTAACTTCGCCAGCGGTGCCGGTCTCTTGACAGCCGCATCCGTAGTCACAACGTTCATCGCGATGAGCGCCGCGGCCTCGCGCTCGGATTCTTCTTGTTGACGAGCAAGCTCTCCGACGCATTGAACCGTCGCGAGCTCTCCGTCTTCATCACTTTTGCCTTCGTCGCGTAAAATACTCATACCGTTCAGGATAACCAACAACGAAACACCGACGTCCACCGCGATGGCTTGCCACAACCCGGTGTAGCCGAGGATAGAGAGCACGAGCACAATGAGCTTCGTGGTGACAGAAAACGTGACGTTTTGGCGAATTTTCCTCACGCACGTTTTCCCGAGGGCGATGAGTTCGACCACGCGATTAAGATCGTTCGTCATGAGCGCCACGTCCGCGGTTTCCATCGCCGCTGCGGCGCCGGCAACGCCCATAGCAACGCCGACATCCGCAGCGGTGAGCGCGGGCGCGTCGTTGATGCCATCTCCGACCATCGCGACCGTTCCTCGGCCGAACACCCGCATCTCGAGCTTCGACGTTTTATTTTCTAACTCTTTGATTGCTTCACCAATTATTGTGAGCTTGTCCTGAGGCTTGAGCGACGCTCGAACGCGAGTGGCATCCAAACCGACTTGCTCACGGACGAAAGCAGCCGCTCCCGGGTTGTCTCCGGTGATCATCTCTGGCGTCGCGCCCATTTTACGTAGATCCGCGACAGCCTTCGCGGCAGTGGGGCGAATAACGTCATCGCATCGAACTACGCCGGCGAGGATTCCGTCGACACCAACCCAGAGGACGGTGCCGCCTTCTTTTTCCCATCGCTTCGCTGTCTTCGTGAGCTCTACGTCGCTTTCATCCCAGTCGCGCTCGGCTGCGAAATCACCGTTTCCGACCTCGACACACTTTCCATCAACCGTCGCCCTTGCACCCTGTCCATCGATCGTCTCGAAATCATCGACGGTACACCGCTCAGCGGCGACACGAACAGCCGCTCCAGCACCGCGCAAAATTGTGTTGGCGAGTGGGTGCGAAGAGCGCGATTCTAAAGCGCACAGCCATCGAAGGAGAGAGCCCACGCCAAGTGCTGGACGATGTGCGTCTCCGCCGTTTCGAGGAGCTCGCACCAAACGAATCGACGTGAGGGCGAAACTACCTCTAGTGAGCGTTCCTGTCTTGTCCATAAAGATGCGCTCGACACGGCCGAGGCGCTCGAGATGCGCCGAACCCTTCACCAGAACACCTCGCTGTGCGCACAAGGTGAGAGCGCTGACTGCGACAACGGGAGTGCTCAGGACCAAAGCGCACGGACACGCGATGACGAGCAAGACGCACGCCAAGTACACCGGCTCGGTGCCAGAAGCGCCCATCGCATACTGAATCACCATGACGAGCGAGGCGGCGAGGATTACCAAGGGCGTGTAAACCCGCGCGAACCGCTCAATCGCGACCTCACTCGAGCTTCTAGACGCCTGTGCTTCTTCGATAAGGCGAATGAGGCGCGAAACGGCGGAGTTTTCGGCGATGCACGAGACGCGTACCTCAAATACGCCACCCTGATTCACAGTGCCTCCGTACACGGCATCGCCGACGCGCTTCTGAATGGGCATAGATTCCCCCGTGAGCGCGCTCTCATCCACCGCACTCGCGCCCATGATGATTTCACCGTCCAGTGGTATCTTCTCGCCCGGTTTAACGATGACCACGTCGTTCACGGCGATTTCTTCGACGGCAACGGGCGTGGCGTCGCCTCGCCGACGAGCGATTTCTGGACGTAACGCCAACACCGCACCGATCGCTCGGGACGTTCTCGCCATTGCGCGTGCTTCGAGCCACTCGGAAAAGGTGAATAGCGCAACGACTGCGGCGGCTTCGCCGTAGTCACGGAGCGCGCATGCGCCGACGATGGCTATAGCCATCAACGTGTTGATGTCAACCACGCCGTTTCGAAAAGAGGCGAAAGCCTTCATGGCGATCTCAGGAAGCCCCACGGCGACGGAACCGAGAGCGACGTATTCTAAATGTTCGGCATCACCGCCGATGTAGTGAAACAACGACACAACGAAGAAGAACCATCCGAGCGAAATTCGGAGCGGCGGCGCGTTTCCTCGAATCCCGTCGCGACCGCGACCGCCTTTACTGTTGCTCTCGCCCGGGCCCTTGGTGTCGCTCACGTGCGCCTGCAAGCGCGCCGCGTTCAATGCATCGACAATCGTCTCCGCACTCACCGCGGTCGCAGCGTGCTCGACGAGCACGGTTTTCGTCGGCACGATGACCTTGACCTCTCGCACGCCCTCGAGTTTACCTAAAATTTTATGAATCAGCGGCACCTCACTCGGACAGCATATCCCGTTCACGCTCAGTCTTGTGCGCGTGCTCGGTTCATTCCCACCTCGCGCCTCGAGCGCTAACTTGGCAGCTATGGTCGCCGCAGTCTCTCCCATTGACTCCACGGCACCACGCGATTCGGCTGAGGTGGACAGAAACGGCTTATAATCCCCTCCTTTCCCACCGCCTCTTCGACGTCTGAGCACACGAACCGATCCATGATCCTCAACGTGTACCATTCCCTTCCCCGAGCACCCATCGCCGCAGTGCTCGGCGTCGGCGAAGTGCACCAATCGCTCGCCGACTAAGAAATCTACGTGGTCGCCGTGCGGCACCGTCTCGCACTTCCTCCCGATCAACCGCTCCCTAGCTTCCTTCGCCTCTGGCGGGCACCCGATCGAAGCGAATAACTCTAACATTCTCAATCGGCCGTTCTCCGCTGAATCGTCCGAGTGTCTCGAGCTCTTCTCGTCGGCGTCGGCGTCTCGTCCCACCGCCCGCGCCGGGCGCCAGCGCCGCGTCACCGGGTCTCTCGCCACCAGAGCCCCTTCGATCAAGTACGCCTCCGTCGGATGTAACTGCAAGATGTTTTGCTCGTCGTTCAGCGTCTCGACCGCGCTCCTGAAGGCGTCGAGCGGGCCTCCGGCGCGCGTTTCAAAGCCATCCACGAACTCGACGCATGTAAAATCGATCACCGTCGGGTCCAAACACAAGCCCTGTTCCACGCACGGCGTGCGCGCGTCGCACCACAGGCACGTGTCGTCATCCGAGCGGTTTTCGTCGCCCGTGGGCGACATGCGACGCGACGTCACGATGTGACGCGCGTTAGGACTGCTTGAAATGCGTATCAGGAATTTCCTGATACGTATCAGCGTACTGGTACGTACCAGCCGAATGTCCGAACGTGTTAATCGTATGGGTAAACAGTATTGACCAGCTGGTACGAGCTGGTACGAGCTGATACGAGCTGATACGGAGGTGACGAATCGACGAGAACCGCGCGAGAACCGACGCACTTCGCGCGCTTACTCTATCTATCGATTCAATTTTCTACTCTTGCTACGTCTGTCCTTCTCTTGACGCTCTAATGCCTTGCGAGCTGCCTTCTGTGCAAAATTTGCCTTTGCCTTGTCCCGAGCGGGACGCGAGTCATCATCCTGTACCTGCATGTTTTCATCGAGGTTACCTACACATGTCATTTCCGTTCGATTCGAAACGTTTACAAGTGGTAACATGACTCGGTCGTCTGTGTCTTTGACGTACTGGTCCACATGCTCGTCACCTGACGAGAGGATTTCGTCGTCTCTGATTCCATCTTCATCACCATCGCTGTCAGCAACTACCACGGCACCGACGGCTACTTCACTTTCTTCTACCTCGCACACGTCTCTGATGTCAAATGTATGCTTCGCGGGGCTGATACGTGGCTCTTCCTCCCTCTTCGATGTTGTCAAGCGCTCGAGGAAGGGAAGCTTCTTGAGCACCCGCTTCCTCTTGTTCCATGCATCATCGAATTTCGCCTGATCATCGCGCAGCGCGCGCTGCGCGCGCCGTTTTCCGCTTCGCCATCTTCGCTCATCACCGCGACGCCCGCTTCGTCGACGCTTGACATCGAGCGTCGACGACTACCGCGCGCAAGTACGTGCGCGAGTGCTCAGCCGTGAGAATTCAGATTCAAACTCGCGCGAACCCGTCAACGCCTAAACCCCGGTCGCACCCCCTCGCCCGCGCGCGCGTCGTTCGTCTCTTCTTTGTGCTATTTTCACGCCGTTTGGGCGCGGCGTCGCGCCGCTGTGGCGTCACAGAGCGCAACCTCACATATTGAGAGCTCAAAAGTGACCTGTATCGGGAATTTCCTGATACGTATCAGAATCGACGATTTTCATACTGTTTGCCCATACGAAAAGTCTGTTACGTTGATACGCTAATACGGTATCAGTACGTATCAGGCCAAGCAGGCCTAGAAAAAATTCGAAACGCGCGTGCTCCGCGCGCCAGCGCGCGCGCGGACGACACAAATCGACCCGGGGCGCGACGGAGAGCTCGCGTGCCAAGTTTCACATGTTTTGGCCGCGTGGTCTGCTAAACCCAGGCACCGAGCGCCCAGGGGGCGAGGAAGAGCGCACGCCATCAAGTTTGAATCGCGCGCCTCGACGGACGAAGTTGCAGGTTCACGGCGACGCGCGCACGCGACCGGTGAGCGAGAGGCTGCGGAAGCGTGACAGAACACCCTCGCGCACAGTTCTCGGTCCTCTGTTGAGCCCGTTCAAGGCTCCGCGCCGCGTGAAAGCGCGAGGGAGGCATCACATGAGCGATGACGACCGAGCTGCATTCGCCAAGACGGCGCACTTCGCGACGAAGACTGGGCAAGTTGCGATGACAGACCTATGCAGAGAATGGGGGTTGAGTAGGGCCACTGGGTACGGCATCCTGAATCGTTGGAGGACAGAGGAAACGGTCGCGACTAAGTCGCGATCCGGGCGCCCGCGTGCGTTGACGGAGGATGACATGAAGACGCTCGAGAATCTGTCAGAAGAGCTCAAAGGTTACGTCACGTGGGAATCGCTCACGAAGCGGTTCACGGAAAGAACAGGTAAGGACGTATCGTGTACAACTGTATTTGAATCTTGTAAAAAAGCCGGCTGGCGCCAAGTGTGCGAGCGCTATGTACCTTGCCTGAGCGCAAAAGACGTGCAGAGAAGATTGGAGTGGGCAAAGCAGCATCTTGATTACACTTGGACGGGGACGGAAAACTTGCGATACCCGAACGTAGATAGTCGCAAAAAAGTAGGATGGATCGACATTGACGAGAAATGGTGGGATATGCTGCGCAAACGATCCGGTGGCGCGCACTTTGGACTACGAAGGTCTGCATGCCTCACTCCCTTCTTCTCTCCCACGATAAATTTATGTTGCAAAAGTTGCGACCCCCTCGATTTGCCCTGAGTTGTAACTCAAGAAAAAAACGCGAAAAAAAAGACCCCTCCACGAATTCACGAGTCATGAATCATCTAAAAACTTTCCGAACGGAGGTTAGTACAAATTTCGGCAAGTTTTCGCAACACGCGACATGTGTGCGCGGATAACGCGACAACGAGGCAGCGAGGACGTGCACATGCTTCGCCACACGTAGTATCCATCACACACTATCGGATCATTGACGTTCTCACGAGAAGAAATCGCTCAGTCGAATGTAGAAGGCAGAACAACCTCACTCTGACAGAGCCGTGAGGAGACACCTTGAATCCTGCCTAAACCCTAGATAAACCCTAACCAAACCCTGGTTAGGGTTTATAACACATGCACAGCACGTGCAATACACGCTGACACCACAGTTAAGTGGATACGATGAACAACACAAGGCATTCACAGTCTTTTCCGAAGCCCGTAACACGGATGAAAGTGACACGTCGAGCGCTTGTGCGCGTAGAACACTCGCGAGAAATAGACACCTAAACCCTACGTAGGGTTTATATAGGGTTTATATAGGGTTTAGACATGGTTTCTTGAGAGTTTGGCGTGGAGTACCAGAGCGCGAGGAACTGCGTGAGGACGTCGCTATGTCCGTCGTACGCCACAGAAACTGGATGAATCTGATGTAACATGCATGTATCTACAACTGTTCATCGCGACGCACGTCCTCGCTGCCTCGTCGGCGCGTTATCCGCGCACACATGTCGCGTGTTGCGAAAACTTGCCGAAATTTGTACTAACTGTTAGTACAAAGTAAAACAGGAGAAATGCCGCCCCAGTAAAACATATGTATATTTTCTGTATTATACGTAAATAGATCTTGAGTCATGATGGTCGTTTCACACACTCCCCAAAACAAGGCTGGATTTAGGCAGATCCCGACGTGGAAAAAGGGAAAAATGATTGGGTGTGGTCGGTGTTTGTGGGAACCGTGATACTTAGCCCCAACTCTATGCGATAGGAGCGATATGTTGTGACGCATTGGATCACAAATTCGACAGCATATCATCCTCAGGAAATTTCTTACGCGTGTTCTGAGAGGTCTCAAACGTATGCGCGATTTCTAGCAGCTCATTCTCACAAAAATGTTTACCAATGAATTGAATACCGATGGGTAAGCGTTGCGACGGATTGCTCTCAGGTTCACAAGACCTCACTACAATAGCAGGCAAACCAGAAAGATTAATGTTCACCGTCATCAGATCGCCAGCGTACATCTGCAGTGGATTCTTCGTCTTCTCACCAACTATGTACGCTAGATCTGGAGTTGCTGGTGTCAAAAGAGCATCATAGTTGCTCAAGTAACCCACAAGTTCATCACATACTTGCTTTTGAGCGCATTTCGCTCGGGTATAATATTCATCGCTATAACCAGAAGACAACATATATGTACCCATAAGAATGCGTCTACGAACCTCTTCGCCAAGGGTATCTTGTCGGAGTTCAGTGTAAGATTCGAGGATCTGCTGTGTAAAACTTGCAGAACCAAAGCGAGTGCCGTCGAAACGGGCTAAGTTACTGCTGGCTTCTGATAAGGCGATCACGTAGTAAGCAGGTAAACCACGTTGAAACGTTCTACTTGTAACGAGATCCACAATTCCACCGATACCTTCTATGTGCTTGACCGATTCCAAAAACGCACTTCTCACCTCCGTGCTGACACCAGGACCAAGTGCTTCGGCTATCACAGCAAACCGTCTACCTTGTAGAGGTCTCGACGGAAGTTGAGATTCTTCCAGAAAGGAAAGTGGTTTCCTATCTCCTGATCGTCTGAGACTCGTATCATACTTCATGGACTTCAAATCGCCCTTAATAGCTTGAAACAAATATGATACGTCTTCAACGGTTGGGCCAATTGGGCCGATTGTATCAAAGCTGGAGCAGTATGCCACTAGACCGTGCCTAGATACTGTTCCATAAGTCGGTTTTAGCCCTACAACGCCACAAAATGACGCTGGTTGGCGTATGGAACCTCCTGTGTCACTACCAAGTGCGCCAGCACACATTTGCGCAGCAACAGCGGCTGCGGACCCGCCAGATGACCCTCCAGGCACGTGGGAGGCATTCCAAGGATTACGAGTGGGTGGACCGAGCCCCGTCTCAGTGGTATTTCCCATGCCAAACTCGTCCATATTGGTCTGCCCAAGTAAAACGCAGTCACGAGCCTTCAAACCTGAGACAACTTCAGCATCATATGTCGAGAGGTGTTTCCTCAATAGGGTTGAGCCGGCTGTTGTTGAAACGCCCTGACGGCATATATTGTCTTTGATGGCTAGCGGAATACCAGCGAGAATGTGCAGAGCTTCACCTGCTGCAAGTCTTGCATCAACTTTCTTCGCCTGGAAGTCAGAAAAAATACAGCGCGTCAATGAATAGGAATAATAGCTTCAGATTGCCGTACCTGCTCGATGGAGCCGATCTTATCAACTTCTGTGAAAGCATTGAGCGTGTCATCTTTTGTCTCAATCTAGCGAGTCAGAGCTGAGTTTGAAAACATTTCTACAAAGTTATAGATACTTACTCGCTTGAGATACAAGCTTGTTAGCTCGCTTGCAGATATTTTGCCCTCACGTAGCGCGCAACCAAGTCGACGAATCAACGACGAACAAGACAGATCTCTGCGTGTTCGTACCTAGTTTACGGTCAACTTATTCGGCATAGAAGCGTGCCGAACTTACGTTTCTACTCGTCGTTCCACTCGAGCGAGTGCCTAGGACACCCGTAACTTTCATCGATTTATACGTCAGCTAGACTATAAAAAATGCGTGAAGTGGACATATCCGGGCTCAGCGCGTTGTGCACGCGACTTCGAACTAAACCGCGCGCGCGCGAGTCCGCGAACGTCACCTTGATGGTTCAAGAAAATCATCTAGCCAGTTAACCTTATTAGGGGTGAGCGACGAATTATGCGAACTTTATGCTAATTTCGGTGCCCTTATTCTTATTCTTATTCTTATTCTGCAAAGCTAAGCGGAATAGTCAGTGATCATGACCCACGGTGTTTGTGGTCATTTGTGACGTTTTCATCTTTTATATGACATTTACCAATATTATATACGATGGATACATCGATAAAAAGTTACACCACTGAGATTTTGCCACGCCCGACGTTTGGTGCTGTCTTGGCGGCGAACCTTGCAGGTGTCGTCACACGTGCTTGAGAAAATGGTCGCGAACATGTCGGTTGGTTTGGATAAGGGTCACGCTGTTACGAAGCGAGAGATCGCGCCGAGACCAGGGTCGAGAAAGGGGGTACGTATGAACTTCATTTTGAGTGGTTGCCGTAGCTAATTCTTCCCGTAGCGTTGTGGCAAACGTGTCGGCATGATTCGCTCGCTTATTCGAGATGTCGCTGGTTCTGCGCCGTACGAAAGGCGGTTAATCGAGTTGCTGAAGAACGGTCGGGACAAGCGCGCATTGAAACTTGCAAAGAGAAAGGTACGATGTTGGGCGCCGATTTAGGGCTTTCCGCGACCCCTAACAACGTGCGGGTCGCCCCTTGGCCCGCAATACTTACGGCTGGGATGGATACGCTGAGTGAACACTTAAGCTTTCTCCTTGATTAGACGATTGTCTGGAATGATCCAAAATACATTCGACTGACGACGCTTGTTTTATTTGTCTGTTGCAGCTTGGGACTCACTTGCGCGGTAAGAAGAAGCGCGAAGAAATGGGCAACATCATGCGCAAGTCGTCGCGAAAAGCCACAGCCCCGGAAAGCAAGTGAGGAGGGGGTAGCATAAGCTCGGCGTTGATGTAGTGAGAACGCCACATCAACAGTCTTACGTTTCCTTTTAAAAGCACTAGCCAGAATTGGTTAGATTTTCCTTCTGGGACAACTAAAACTCGCCCGTCGCTAGCCTGAACGCGCGAGCACGGTTCGCAGACGACCCAATAACATCTTTCTTAGCCGAACTCAGTATGAATAATCCATCACGCCGTTGCCCTCGCCTACAAGACGAATTAATACGTAGGGCTCAGAACATTTTGGTTCATGGGTCGGTTCTAGGGGCGGGGTGGCGACACCCAGGGATCTTGGGGCGCACGAGGACGGGAACTTGCGCAAGACGGCCAAAAACTGCTGCAATTGCACACCTTGCAGTTGCATAATGCCCCCATTCCAGAGTAGGAAGACGCCATTTGTCCGAACATTATCATTATACTGCTTACCGATACGCTCAATCCAAACCACAGCCCCCCACCTCAAACGGACTTCAAATTCGTCGAATTTCGTCGGCCCACCCTCGAAAACTTCCGCGCTGAGACTACGGAGCGCGCTCACACTTCCGCGCAGTACCAGGACACTGCGCACAGTACTGATTGCGCATTAGTCGTGAAGGAACTGGAAAGGACTGACGATGGAGCGTCAGACGGGCGGTGACAGTCACGTCTCCGTGACCCGTTTGGAGGATCAAAGCATCACCTTTAGTTTGAAAGGTGTTGACGTGAGTCTTGCGAATGCACTCAGGCGTGTGATGATCGCGGATGTCCCGACTTTAGCCATTGATTTAGTCGAGGTTGTTGAGAATTCGTCCGTATTGTGTGATGAGTTCTTGGCCCACCGTTTAGGCTTGATCCCACTTAGTAGCAAAAAGGTGTCCGAGCTTTTCAAACCGTACGAATACATGGGCGAAGACGATTCTGCTACTGATGTGCATTTAGAGCTAAATGTGCGCTGTCTAACTGAGCAAGCAATGGATGTCACCAGTGAGGACATGGTATCGTACGACGAACGAGTCAAACCTATCACCTTCCAAGGCACTGTTAGTGACGCTGCAAAACCTGGTGGGATCTTGATCGTCAAGCTACGTAACAAACAACAGTTATTGTTGAAATGTATTGCGCGAAAAGGTACCGGCAAAGATCACGCAAAATGGTCGCCGGTAGCTACGGCGGTATTCAAACACGATCCAGTTGTCCATGTAAACCAAGAACTCCTGAAGACTCTAAGTGGTGAGCTCTTGTGTCATTTCAAACCTTCATATTAATACGTTTTCAGGTTCGGATAAACGAGCTATCGTAGAAAGCGATCCTTCACAGATGTTCAAGTACGATGCAGATCTAGACACCATATCTTTGACTTCAACAGGGAGCTGTACTTTTGACGGGGAGATTGTGAAAAAGGTGAGTTTATTGACGTTGTGCTAGTACAAGTTGACTTCTTAAAGGTGAATGAAATGGGCAAGCACGGCTTGATTGATATACGACCGTGTTTCGACAGTTTTACATTCCACGTTGAGTCAACTGGCGTGCTTGATGCGGAGGAAATTGTTCTGCAAGCTGTGCACATTTTGCAGACGAAGTTGGACACAGTTGGGGTGCGTTCTTTCCTTTGTCTTGTTTTGCTCTCAATCTCATATGTCATTCTCAGGGCGAACTTGACATGATAGAAAGCGAAAATTTTTAGAATTATGATGTTTGTAACGCAAAGCGCAGTCCTAACTTTCTAAGTGCGTCTACTTTGTGCCTACTCGCTCACAGTCTAGGTCTATCAGTGTCAGCACTGATGGGGTCTCGCCCAATAACAGAACGAGACGCCAGTTGTCGAAACTCTCGTCCTCGGTAGGCATATGCCCGACCATATCTACTCACATTCGTTCGCGCAATTCCTCAGGAACGCTGATAATTCTGTGGTCAACATCAATCCATATCCCTACGTTGCTTTTGAAGACGTGTTTGACGATACCTTTTTGCGAGAATGCCTCAAAGAACTCAAGAGCTATTTGACGGCGCATTTCAAGGAGACCGACTTGTTCAAAGTTTTTCAGACAACGGATTTGGCAAATCTAGAGGATTGCATCAGGGACGCGCATACAAACGTGCCCAACTTGATTCGGCTTCGAGAGCACTTGTATTCTCCTGGATTTCGAGGTTTTGTTTCCACTGTTACAGGCACCGGTCCGCTTGATGGAGCGGTCGATTGCTCCTGCAACATTTATACATCTGGTTGTCACCTTCTTTGCCACGATGACGTGATCGGCACTCGAAAAATTTCTTACATCATATATCTATCCGATCCGGACTGTGACTGGCTTGCTGTAGACGGAGGACAACTTGAGTTATACGCAAGCGATCGGCGCACGGTACCAACTCACACGCCTGTGGTTTCCATACTTCCAAGTTGGAACTCCATGGTCATGTTTGAGGTTTCGCCTGGGCGTAGCTTTCACGCTGTCCGAGAAGTGAGTGCAGAGATGAAAACGAGAGTAAGCATTTCGGGTTGGTTTCATACAAAAGAACGCCATATTAAGAGAAACCAGAGAGAGACGTCAACGTTGGACCAACTCCACTCAATGATTCCAGCTACACACGCGGAGTGGGCAGTTCTCCACGTTAATCGTGTGTTATCTCCTTCTTACTCACTTGTACAGGACCTCACTAAGTGGATCAATCCAGAATACCTGCGTTCGGAAAGTGTGAAACGAGTCCGACAGGTATTCGAGGCTGATGGCTCAGTTCAGTTATTCAATTTCCTTTTGCCCCATATAGCTGAGCCGATTAAGAGAAAACTAAACCGTGAAGATTGCCGAAATAGTAGACACCGCTGCATGTATGATCACGGCTATGGGGACAGTTGGGTTGTTCAAGGCCCTCCACACGTTCAGCGATATTTAAGCTACCAACCCCTTGAATGCACTCTTGCAAACAAGCGAAGCAACAGTGGTGAATTGTTAAAAAAGCTGATGTGCGATTTATTTGAATCTTCTTCTTTTCAAAACTGGGTTAGAGCCGTAACCGGTAGTGTTTGCGATCTTGCACACTCTGAGGTCCGGCGCTTTCGCCCGGGTTTTGATTACACCCTGGCACACGCCGGTACAAAACGTTGCAGCTCTGAAATAGATGTGACACTTTGTCTTACAAGCGGTCCAAATCCTGCTGAATGGCTATCCGGTGATCTTGGAGGCTTCAAGTGTTTCATCCCGATCGGTTCCAAGAGCGATCGAGCAGATGTATACGAGGAAATAGGGGAAGAACAGAACATGCGCTCAGTCACTCCATCGTTCAACTGCCTTTCACTCGTAAAGGTCAACACTGGAATTGGTGACTTCGTGAAGTATGTTTCAACTTCAGCTAAGAGTAGCCGCTGGGATATTGTTTGCCGTTACTCTACATGATGTATGACTATGACGAATAGGAAGCTAAATCAATGCGGTAGAAGAGTTCTCCTGGCGTTGGAAGTTTACGCTCCTGTCTCTTGCCCCTTCTCTTTGACTCTTATTTTCATATCGTTTGCGAACACGCAAAAATTTCGTGCCAAATTCAAACATCGAACGTGTTTCTCTCTTGCGATATTCTTTGGTGATGCCCGCATGATATCCTCAAAAGTATGTGGGGGTACTCCATACGATGTACAACGAAGAGCGCAGCAGCTTGGTTCGCACAACTCTTAGCGCTATGAGTGTGGACATGTGAGTTATAGCACACAGAGATTCACGCAGTGGTTTACAATTTTTTGCGTTTGTATGAGCGCTGAATCACTGCGACATGCGTTCTGGCTGAGTGCGGCTCAGGAGTACTGAGAACGGACAAGTAACGCCAACAGAGTTGTCGTGAAAAGTATGATGTAGAATGATAGCCGAAGTCTTCCAGGGACATCGCGATTGATTGGCTGCACTGTCATACTTGTTTGTAAAACACACTCTGTGTTACGTATGAACGCCGACATATGAAAATGCTCGTTAAAGTATGTCTTTGCTGCGACACCCATCTCCTTTGCAAGCTTTGGAGTGTTTGAAAGTCTAATCATTGCTCGTGCAAAACTCTGCGCGCGTCTGAGCTGCAAGCAGTTGTAGTTATGGTACAATGTTACCTCTGGGTTACTTTCGCATAGGAAACCTGTCAAACCATGTATCACTGTTTCTCTCGGGCCACCACTGTTGCACGCTATCACGGGTTTTTGATAACACATAGCCTCGAGTGGGACTATACCGAAGTGCTCGTGCTCCGGTGTGTAAATGATGCTCATGCTGCAACTCAACAGCGCTTCCTTCTGACTCTTACTTACTGACGGTAAGAAGAAAACATCATCAGATACGCCGAGTTCTCTAGTGAGGCTATTTATCGTACATCTTAGGACTAGATTGCATATAACCTGACTCTCACAACTTACCTGACGAGAGCATCCAACGTCTTCACATTATCAGATAGCCTTGCATCGAAGCCTCCTGCGATAATTAAAACGTGTCCATGTTTAGGAGTTGACTGTTGAATTTGTTGACTGAAGTCGTAGAATGCGTGAATCGCAAGGGATAGATTCTTCTTTGAATCGAAGCGGTTTAACGATAGGAATATCGTCTTTTGGCTAACAAAGGAGTTATATTTAAGCTGCAATTGGAATCAACTTTCAGTACCTCCATTTCAGTGCAGTTGCTTGGCCAAATTCGTGTTGCAGACGTCGCTGTACCGTTTCTTCGATGCAAGGTTCAGCCTTGTACAATCACAGTTAGTATTGGACTGCTTTGAAACATAGAGTTTACCACCTCAAAGGATGCCGTTGGATAAACGACTTTGGGGCAAACTCCCCTCACAAACAGCCGTTGGAAAGTTTGTGCGAACATCTCTTGCGTGAAATAACTATTGACGACTACCTCATCAGCCTAGTGGATGTAAGAAAAGAAAACGTGCATAAAATGGAATAGAGCACTCACCATCCCGATACAACTTTCTTCAATGTAGTCTATTGGCAGGCGGTAGAGCTGTTTGAGTAGTGTGTCGTGAGAAGATAGCAGACAGTCCGGGAAGTGACAGTAAAAAACTGTTCTCTGCGCGAATAATTTGAGCACGATCAGTGGCAGTGGCACCTTCAATTGTAAGCTTGAGCAGCAAAACATGGTTACTGGCGCTTACCTGATCCAAGAACCACACGTCAACTTTCCCGTAGTCTTTCCATAGAGCGACAAACTGACGTGTAGAAGTTCATATTCGTACGGAAATAACCTTTAAGAAGGGCGTACCACAAGCCAAAGACATCGAAGACTCGCGCAAATAGCGTGTAAACGTCTGAAAACACTCCGTGGGAGTACTGTTGCGTGAAGATGTATCCACGGTACACGTTTGCCTTCTACACGAGATTATTTCTGATAAGTCGCCTGTCGAAGTCTAAAATGCGACTCACCTGCAGTGACTGTATCTTCAAAACATCTCTTCTCATCATGGTGTGCGGTATAGAGTGTGACCTGATCACTCCGTCAACCAGAGCTCTTCAACGCAAGTTAACACGATCGAGAAGTCTTACCTGGTGACCGAGTGAAGAAGATGCACGCACGAAGTCCAAAACAAGACGCTCCGCTCCACCTGAATATATATTCAGTCGAATTAACAGTTAGCTGAACGAAACGAACCAAGTCCAAGATCTGGGTGTATCACGTTCACGCGCAACGGTCTTTTAAAACGCTCTCGCGAATAGGCGGGAAGGTCCAGATTGCAGGCAGCTGCAGTCCCGGCTTCCATGCGAGCAACGGTGCTTCGTGTCGAAGCGTCGTTTGGCTTGTGCAGTATTCCCGAGATCCGGCGTCCGGCAGTTACAAAGACTTTGTAACTGCCGGCAGTTAGTGTTACAAGTCCCGACGCGGTTCTGAACAAAACAACGTATCCCTTGTCATCGAGATATAGTAGGCCTACTGCACCTGGTACACGCTGGTACCGTACCAGCGTACCGGTGTACCAGGCATGTTGTATGAGCAAACAGTATGGAATCAGACGATGTTCGTACGTACCTTTTTGAGCCCGTCGTGGCGGGAAATCCCGATTTATGACTCCTCAACGAGGCTCTGGCGCGTGAAAACGACCAAGAGCGCGACAAACGAGACGAGCGAGGCGCGCGCGAACGCCAGTGATCGATAGGCGGCTGTCCTTGGTGCGACCGGGGTTTAGCAGCTGGGGTTTAGGCGCGACGTGTTTGAAATTTGAAATGATATAATATTAGCAAACGCCAGCCATCGACGCTCGATGACGCCCGTCGACGAAGCGGGCGCCGCGTCGAGGAGCGATGACGAAGCACACATTCGACATCAGAGACGCGCGAGGTAGAAGAAAGTGAAGTAGCCGTCGGTGCCGTGGTAGGTGCTGACAGCAACGGTGATGATGATGGAATCAGAGACGACGAAATCCTCTCGTCAGATGACGAGCATGTGGACCAGTACGTCAAAGACACAGACGAGCGGGTCATGCCCCCACACGCAAACGTTTTGAATCGAACGGAAATGACATGTGTAGGTAACCTCGATGAAAACATGCAGGTACAGGGTGATGACTCACGTCCCGCTCGGGACAAGGCAAAGGAAAATTTTGCACAGAAGGCAGCTCGCAAGGCATTAGAGCGTCAAGAGAAGGACAGACGTAGTAAACATAGAAGATTGAATCGATAGATAGACTTAGCCCGCGAAGTGCGTCGGTTCTCGCGCGGTTCTCGTCGATTCGTCACCTCCGCATTCGTCACCTCCGCATCAGCTCGTACTCCGCGAGCCACCACCACATAGTGTAGTCAACATTCGCCTGTCTTACAAACTCCGCGTTTTAGAGGTCTGGCCCTCACTGGAGTCCACTTGGATAACTCGCGTCAAAGCCGGCAAACGAGCAACCGCCACAGGCAACGCGAAGCTTTTTCGCGAGTTTGCGCTGTGATGCCTGAAGTTGACGTGGTGTCACTACGTTTTCCACTTCGCGCGCGAATGTCACGTGTGGCATCAAAGTTGGCACATGCCCAAGGGTCCAGCGGACTTCCGGGGGCGGTACAGGTAAGATAACTTGCCCAGCGCTAGCCTCGTTCTGAGTTGACTTTTCTAGACGAAAACCCTGGTTGCTGCGGATATCGGGGGGACGAATGCTCGCTTCCAGGTACGATAAATCGAAGTCTCAACGATTATATCCCCAAGTTCACGACCGGAACAGATTTGGTCGACGTCTACTGGAGTCCAGAAACACGAAGAGCTTCTGTATGAAAAGGTACCTGTATGTGTGTGTTCTTTATATGTGTGTTTGTTGACAGTTGGTAGACGTATGATGCTTGTCAGTTTGAGACGTTTGACATGTGCTTTCGTAAACTCTGCGAGGTATGCCGCGACCCATATAGAGCTTGCCTATTGACTTCTGAGCACCATTTTCTTTAGGATTCAGGACTTACAGTCTTTGACTCATCTTGCTTTGCTGTGGCCGGCCCAGTGAAGAACAGCCGCTGTGAGGTGATGTTGATACTTTCATCTAATCATATTGAACACCACTAATCATTCCACTGAAGATGACCAACCTGAACTGGCGTTTGGACAGCGTTGCGATAGAGAGGTCGTTTCGGATCCCAAAAGTCTCCGTGATCAATGACTTTGCTGCCATTGGATACGGGATCATGGGATTGGATCCTTCTCAGCTCGTCGCGCTCAACGATGTATCTGCAGAGTAAGTTGTCACCAAGACCCGATGCTACACGGTTCACACTCTTCTATAGAGAGCGAGGACCCATCGCGATAATCGGGCCAGGGACTGGATTGGGTGTAAGCTTCAGTACTTTTGGGTCGCGGATACGTTACTTGATATCTAGCTAGGAGGCCAACATGCTCTGGAACGACTCCAAACAATCGTACGAAGTCATAGCTAGCGAGGTTTTTTAGTATGTTTGAATACAACTGGATGGAACTCTCAACCGACACAGGGGTCGCATGCGTTATTTGCACCAAAAAATCAAATTGGAGTTCAGGTGCATATTTCTCACTATATTTCCAACAAGCTCTTAAATCGGCTTACTGCATAGCTCCTCGAGTACATGTGGGTGCAGAACTTACAAGTATGACGGAGATTCAGTTGATGATTTTACTCTCACTTCGTCCATAGGTATGTGAAGTTGAACATGTTTGCAGTGGGCCAGGCTTGAGGAATATCTATCGCTTCTTGTGTCGCAAAAATGATATCAAATGCGACGAAATTGAGCCCGCAGAGGTGCCGTTGTTTAAAGCTCGATGCCCTGTTACTAATTTCTCTGCAGATATCTGCACGCGCACTTTCCAAGTCTTGTGATGTTTGTGTTGCAACATTGAACATTTTCCTTGAAATTTTGGTCAGTGCAGTATTGCTTTGTGAACGATGTACTCAATGTTCGTTCTCAGGGATCTGAGTGCCTTGGCGCCGCTTTGCGTGTCCTGGCGACTGGGGGAGTGTACATCGCTGGCGGCATACCCCCCAAAATTTTGCCTTTAATTACGGAAACCCCAGTGCTTATCAAAGCGTTTGAAAACTGCAGCCCACCAATGCGTGATGTAGTGACACGTTTTCCTTTGAAGGTCGTGAGCGACCCGAATGTTGGCTTACTCGGTGCAAAGGTTTGTTATCAGTTCATTGACTTGTCATGCGAGTAAGAATTGGTGTAGATATTAGCAAAACAGCAGATCTCCGTGATACTATGAATACAACACTAGTCCCATCAACTGTCATACACGTCTAAGCTAAATATGTTTTGTAAGTTTCTGAAAGATATCGCCGCTAAGGACGAAACAACCATGCTTGCATTTCTCAGCTCCCAGATAGACTCCTCACCAGAAACAACGATGCATTTCATCCCAAGTTCTAGTGTCGCTTCAATAGCTAGATGATGATCGCTAACAACGACGCATTTGGAAGTTGCACGTGAAAGGGCGCTTGCTGCGATCAGATAGAACTCAGTGTCAGGTAAGCCACTTTGTACGTCATCACGCCCTACAACTACCGCAAAGTTTACCTCGAACGAGCCTGTCTCACTTTTGAAATACTCTCTTCTTTGTAAAAATGATAACATACGTTGCAGTTCCTCCGTTGTTAGTTGTGAAGAGTAAATAGCACAAGGTACATTGAAACTTGCTAATAACTTGAAGAACTCAAGTACTTCATGACGCAATTCACCAGTGCGCCGAACTCTATCAGAAAAGAGTGCACTTTTGCGCTCGGCCAAGTATTTCACTCGTTGTGGCTCAGATTCCCAATTGAATATTTGAGAGATTACGTGTTCATTTTTCCTACGGAATGCGCTTTTAAGCTGATATTTAACAGGGGCGCTGAGGCTTTCTTCTGAAGCCAACTGTTGCCAGTCCTCGCGCTCGGAACTTTGACGATATGGCACGACAACTCCCTCGAACTCAAATATCACGCCAAAGCGTCGCGTCCCTAGATCTTCTAGACGTTCAAGAGGATTCAAGGCGTTATGAACCGAGCGAATTCTCCTTGAAGCTGTTGCAACTTTGTTGCTCCTCAACACAGTCCGCAACATGGACGTTCAGTCAGTCACCTATCATTTCGTCTGGTTGGAGCTGATCTAATACGTTGGTCTCACGCCTGTTCTGTCCGTATCGGTCATTATTGCTTGAAAGGGGTACGAACTGCACAGCTCCCTGTCGCGCGACACTTCGGCCGGGGCGTGGCTAAATCTAGGCCCGCTTGGCCTGATACGTACTGATACCTTATCAGCGTATCAGACTTTTCGTATTGGCAAACAAGTAAGCGCTGACGCCTAGGTTGGGTACATCACGATCTATGAGTCGTGATCGTGATGCGCATCACGATGTCGTGATGGAGATCGTGATGAAATAACTATTGAGTCATGATCGGTCACATTACCCCCTCCCCAAACGTCTGTATTTAGCGAAATCCAAATCCATATACCGCGGGAGGAACTTCCTGTTAGTCGATCGTTTCTTCTCCGATCTAGTCGCGTGTAACCGAAAAAAACGGACAAAACGTCCACTTGCGCCGGACACTTAATGTCGTGCTACACAGAGCTTCCGCGAGCGGCATGGACGGTATTTGGGAGTTGAGGAGTGTATCGATGTTTTTTACGGATGTCAGCTGCTGGGAGATAGGCTCGCGTAAATATTCAGGTTTTCTCCGCTACGACTTGAGTCGGGGTTTAGTTACAGTGTTTTTCAACCCGTATGAGAGTGTGAATCATCTAACTATCCTCGCACATGGACAAAGTGTATGGCTTTCGTTTGTCGTAAAGGTATGTGACGCATCAAGTTTCACTTCGCGTACTCTTGATTGCTTCTCGCTTGCATGAAGCAGGTTCTACTTCTACTTTACTTGAGCTCGTTGAGTGCACTGCACTACAAAATAATTGCCTACAACGGTAGAGTCGAAGCGCGATCAAGTACGAAAAACCAACCGGCAAAATATTCATTAGCATTTAAACCGTTCACGTAGACAATGTCATCTCGCATTCAGTGAGCACATGTAGCAAAAGCATCGCCAAAATTGTTCAAGTGGTAAATTTTCAGTACTTCTGTTCACAAGAGCTCACACGAAATAGGGGCGAGGCTACTTGAATAGAGAGTATACTATATACGAGAGTATCCGATCCTTACAAGCAAATTCGAGAGACGAAGCAACGCTCATGCATCTTGACGAGATTTGTCGTATTTTGTCTCTTCAGACTCACAAAGAAAGGAGAAAACTCTTCCTTCTGTGGAAAGCATTTTAGATTTCAGAAGTACTTTAGCTTTTGTGTCACCAAGGGACTTTAGTGTAACTGTGCATGTCGTGGATCCCTCCCTCTTTTTGAGCTGCGTTTGTTCGTACTTCCATCGTCATCAGACCGTTAGCTAACATCTGGTGCACTTTTTCAAGCGAATCAGCGCCAAGGTCTTGAAAGCCTTGTTTGGCGCCGTGTATGAGATAGGGTATCGTGCTCTTGATCGACCCTTTGTCGCGCACTGTCCCCGATACTCCTTGTGCAATTTTCAGGTGGCCAGATTCACTCAAGTAACGAGAATCACTCCCCTTCTTCATAGCATCTAGACTACCCATACCGCGGTACTTCTTGACGCGAGCGCCGTCTTGGTAAAAGTATTGTCCAGGAGCTTCAGTACTCCCTGAAAACACAGATCCGCACATGGCAACATTAGCGCCGAGTGCAAGAGCTTTGACGATGTGTCCGCTGTTCTGGATTCCACCGTCAGCGATGATGGGAACATCAAACTCGCGAGCAACCTGTCCAACCTTGTACACTGCAGTAGCTTGCCCTCTACCGACTGCGCAAACCTCCTGCGTCGTGCAAATACTTCCGGATCCCATGCCAACGCGGAGGCCGTCAGCCCCCGCCTCGAGCAAGCGCCTCGCTTGCTGCTGAGTGACAACGTTTCCAGCAATCACGTCCAATTGCGGAAGCTCGTTCTTCAAAAACTTGATCATTTCGAGTTGATACACGGAATCACCTTGAGAAGAATCGAGAATAATGGCGTTGACTCCAGCACCGAATAGCTGCTGCGCGCGAACGCGGTCTGTATCGCGTGTTCCTATAGCCGCACCGCACAGCAGTTTACCATGGTTGTCTAGCGCCGGCGCTCCAGCTGCAGGTCTGTTGAGTCGAGCCTTGACGTTTGCGCGAGTCAGTAAACCAGTAAGGCACCCGTGGCGATTTACGATGGGAAGTTTACCACGCTTGCACTCGAGTAGCGTGGTTTCGTTTTCCTGAAGCGTCATGTCAGTAGATCCCAGAACTAGCTTGCCGACCGTTGTCATGACCTCAGACAGTGCTGTGGTTCGATCGCGAACAAATTCAATGTCTCTAGTAGTCACTAAGCCGAGAAGAGTGCCCTCAGATGCGCCGTCCTCCGTTACACACACGGAAGTGAAGCCCCTGGCTGTTAGAAGTTTGTCCAACTCTGAAAGTGTGGCTGAAGGTCCCATAATTGCTGGATTAGCGACGTAGCCCGGATTATGGGACTTGACGCGCTTAACGTGCTCGACTTGGCTTTCCATCTGCATCACTAATTTAGAGCCAGCGTAGGCAAATACGGGGCAAACGTACCGTCATGTTGTAGTGCAGGAATCCCATGCCGCCGACTTCTGCCATCGCAACGGCCATTTCGGATTCAGTCACTGATCGTCTCGACACTTCAGATACAAATATGCACTTAGTATCCAATCATACACGCACCTGTATCCATCGGAGAGCTCACTAACGGTGTACGGATTGTGATATTCCTGCTCACGCGCGTTGACAGGTCGACCTGCAAGCGCGTCAGTGTTCTTATATTATAACTTTTCGACGAGACGTACCTGATCCGCGGCGAAATCGATGAAGCCTGGATGGAAAATCACATCGTCGTACGTGTAACAGAATCCTAAATGAGACGAATTTAATACACGTGCACGTTGATCCGCCACTAGCCTATATTACCCTGGTTGAAAAGTACCTCGGCACTGTAACCATCTATGGATGTCATGATCCCTCAGCTCTTGGTATCCGGTATCCGCTGACAAAGGAACTGACACGTGTCGCTAGATCACTGTCGATCGCTGCGATCTCGTGTGTCTTTGGCGGGAACTCCGCGCGTGCGAGTCCTCAGGCGTGCTCGAATCTTTAGAGGTGAGAGCATTGCTATCGTAAAGGGGTGCAGCGGCTGGTACAGAGTACTCAGTACCAGCGTACCAGTGTACCAGGCATTTTGTATGAGCAAACAGTATTGTACCAGACGATTTTGGTACGTACCAGGATATTCCTGGTACAGCCCGTCGTGGTGGGAAATCCCGATTTATGACTCCTCAGGGAGGCTCTGGCGCGTGAAAATGACACGCGAGGAATAGACGAGCGAGGCCGACCTGATAACGTGGCCATTCTTATCACGAACGACGCCCGACGAACGCCTAGGTTGGGTACATCACCTTCTATGGGTGGTGATGGTGATTTCAAATCACCTTGTGGCGATTTAGATGGTGATTTCATATTGAGTGTATGTAAAGTCTATCATTTTCTGATGTAAATTGTGTCACTGTTCGAACCCTAGCACTCGAAACGGTTCGTGCGAGCTCGAAAGGTTAAATCACCTTCCATGGGTGGTGATGGTGATTCAAATCACCTTGTTTCGGGTGGTGATTTAGAAGGTGATTCAGATTTTACCCAACCTAGACGAACGCGCGCGCAAAAATTGACGAAGGTGACACGGCTAGGGAGCTCTGTAAATGCGAACTTACCCGAGAAAGTCTACAAATCCCCAGTCACCCGAAAATGGCTAGGGGTGGCTAGGGGTGTAAAATACTTTTTTATTGTCGTCTTTCTATCGTGATGGGCTACATACGCGTTTAAAGCGCCCGTGCACCGTGTGAGCGGCTCAGCATTAAGTTGGAGCGTCGACGATGTGAGTTACGTGGACACTGGCCGGTACCCAGGGTACCGTACCCTCATACATTAATTTCGAAAACATTACTGTAGTAGTACTACAATAGTACTAGGGATTTCGAAAATAATGTATGTGTCGAAAAAACCTGAATTAATTAACATGCGCGTTTTCTCGCGCCGTCGCTCGTCACTCCGCGTCGCGCGCGCGCCCGGGCGGCGCGGAGGGACATCATCTATCCGTTTCTCGCGAGATCCGACCGTTTAAATTTGAATTCAGCGCGTGGGTGTTGACGGAAGACGACCGTTGGAGCTCGATGGGCGTGTTAATCTTTCGAGCAGATTCTGCCGCGCATGACGGGCCCTCGCGCGCGCCTGAGCGCGTCGCCGACCGGGTCGACGGCACGTAACGGCTCTAAGAAGTCGTCTCCGCGATCGGAGGCGCGTGCGCGCGCAGCAGGGGCGACGGCGGCTCCAGTTCGGTACGACGAAGATGGGCGCGTCCAAGTGGCCAAGGATGCTCGCAAAGTCGCTGTTGCTTTGCTCGCAAACAAACGTCGCCGGGCGCTTTCTCCAGAGAATATCGCAAAGGTGAACGCTACGGCACTATTTCTCGTCACTGTGAGCTTCTCGTATGGGTTGATCAAGCAACACGCGTTCCTCAACCGCGTGAGGCGATCGATGGAAGAGGAGGACGTGAAGCGCGAGGCGCACGCGCTGGTCACTGAAGAGTGCGCTTCGACTTCGGATGCGTCGGAAAACACCATGGACGTCGCGGATGATCTTGCTCGCACTCGCCATGCAGAGCACGTACGGAATCCACAGCCGTTCTTCGTCCAAACGGTGCACGCATTCAGTCGCGGTGACGTGACGGCAATGGAGGCTGTCGCAGAATTGCGGCGCGTCGGTGTACGGGTCACCAAAGCGTTTATGGAGAGCGCGCGCTTGGCTCTGTCGTTCAAGGATCCTATTCCGCATCACTCCGCGTGTGAAGACGGTCGCGGAAGGCCGGGCGCCTTGAGCGAGCCGTACGTGAAGCAACTGGCAAAGATTGTCAAGCACTACATCAGACAAGGGATACGTTTGAGTCAAGCAACCATTCTATCGATCGCGAGGAACTTCTATCTCGATGAGCACGGCTCAGTTGCACCTCTGAACGCACTCGGATCGGCTTGGTTCTATCGATTCATCGCAAAGAACGGCATCGAATCGTCTCTGTACAACCCGTTGGATGCGCTGAGAGCGAACTCGGCAACTGAGCACAACGTGCGGAACTTCTTCGAAAGGGTGGCGCGCACGGCGGTCCGATACGGCTTCGCGGTTTGGAATGCCGACTTCGACGTGAATTCTAAACTCAGTGAGATGATCATTTGGATTGAATCGAAGATGAGCCGCGTGTTCACGCTTGACGAGGCGAAGGTGCAACTCGCCTACGAGAAGGGTGTGCGGGGTGTGCGCTTGTTGATTATTCGCGGCGAAGATAACCAGCGTCCGGCGGTCACGGCGAACAATGCTTTCTCGGCATCCGTCATGGGTTGCAGAAATCTTGCCGGTGAAGCGCTCGCACCCTATTTTGTTTGCAATCAGGAGCCAGATGTTGATGATGATTTTGACATCCCCGGAACTATC